TGTGAAAAGTAATGCCTTTCCTAGCCTTAGTTGATGACAGTGAAGGAAATTGTAGTTTTGACCATGATTGTTGTGTTTCCTTTCCCTCCCCAGCTACTGTAGAGATAGTGAAACTGGTGGAGAAGATCTCAGACGACACGGTGGTGGTGTACCAGACACACAAGCGCATGTGGCCCACCATGCAGCGGGACTCCCTCTTTGTCTCCAGTATCCGGCAGGTGGACACAGGAGACGATGAGGGGCCGTCCTGGGTGGTGTGTAACTTCAGCGTGGACCATCCTTCTCTTCCTGTGAGTACTGTATTTCTCCCAACGTCCTATCCATAGGTTTCTCAAGAGCATGCTTGTTCTTTATACATAATGTACCTTGAAAAATTCTGCGAGAAAATAAGAATCTTTTTTCATTGCCTTCCTTTCAGAGTGAGCTCAACAGAGTGTTATTGCCTGGGGTGTTAAAACTATTTTAAGCCATTGCATTTTATCAATTCTGCTGCCACCAATGAAATGCATTTAAAGAAGCAATGATGATGGGTTGCAGCTGTTGTTTCCAGTACTGAAAGAAAAAACCATAATGACTATTAAGTATTACAGATCCTCCTTAATATTTTAGAATCCAATGTTGTTGTTTTTTGGTTATCAGAAGCTGCTATAACAGCTAGTTGTACACTTGGAATCAGTAAGTCTTATTTCTGTACGTTATGTCACCAGGTATCAAACAAGTGTGTTCGTGTCAAACTGAATATCGGCCTTGTGTGCAAGACGTTGGTCACGCCCCCTGCTGATGGGCAGCCCATTACGAGGGACGACATCTCCTGTAAGATAGCGTATGCTGCTTATGGTGAGTTCCACATGCCACATATATACCTACCAGATGGTGCTACGTGATAAATACCTTTACACACTAAATTGACTACTACCCCATAGGACCCCATGATCTGTTCTAGTGTTACTTTTAGTTTTGAATAGGAAATGGGACTGTAGTAAGAGAACTGCTGTTTCTTGGATTACACCAAGACATTTCTTTGTTTTTCCCGTCATATGGTTTCTGTTGCTAGATGAAAACTTTTCTCCTAGCAATGTTTTCACCCGACTTCCTTCCCCTCCTGTCCACAGTGAATCCCGGAGGCTGGGTTCCTGCCTCCGTACTGAGGACGCTGGCAAAGAGAGAGTACCCCCGTTTCCTTAGGAAGTTCTCAGCCTACGTACAAGGCAAGACAAAAGACAAACCCATCATGTTCTAACAGGAACTGGACTGCGCACTGGTTGGCTGTTGTGAGCACCACACCATTCTGAGCACAATATCTCGCTGTTTGTAAGGGAAGTTCTGGATGTTTCAGAATAGGTTTTTCTTGTGATCAATGCATATTTCCTGTATAAAACTATGTCTTGCTTACTGTAAGGACATATTCATCAACTTGTAAACTTGGACTGTGGAAAGTTTGTACATATGGTTGCTATCATTGAACTTGTCCTGTGCTTCCCTGATTCAGCATATATCTCACGCACGGTGAGCTTTTATCTCAGATAATCAAGTGAAATGACAAGACTTAGAATGTGTTACATGGTGCTCATTTGCCTCAGTAGGACTAGCCTTCCTTCTTTTGACTTAAACAATGCAAATCTGATGGGGCAAACCTTCAAGTACCATATCCAGACAAATATTGTTGATAGCATGTAGTCCACACAGATAATTGTGTGTAGGATATTGAGATGTTACTCAGATATTGAGGATGAGAGTGTACCTTTTATTACCATGTGATTTACTAAACTCATGGGCTTGTTTTCTATAGAGCTAATTCAATTGCTATTGGTTGTGTCTCTTTTAGATCCCTTCCATTGCAGGGTTAGACAAGTTTTCAAAAATCCACTTGCCCTATTGGGCAAGTACATGGTCATTTTCACTTGCCCGAACCAACTTTTCACTTGCTCAAAATATACATGACATTTTTATGCATTTTTGCTACCAGCAAGGAAATTATTTCATTTCAGAGTTTATAATGCTACATGCTTAATTTATCAAAATAAGGCGGTTTGAGACTTGCAATAGATTTTCTGATAAAAGGGCATTAACATAATATCAATATGGCAAAATGATGAGTAATTTTGCTCCAAACACCATAGCGGCTATACTTGGCATCCAAAAAATTTACTTGCCCAATTGGGCAAGTACAGAGGGATATTCACTTGCCCGAACAGTACTTTTACTTGCCCTGGGCAAGTGGGCAATGGGACTTGTCCAACCCTGCATTGTATGTTGCTTTTTTTTGCCCCCACTGTTGAAAAAAGCAGAATACTGAGAAACTGCCAACAGTCAATTCCAGCAGCCAATTTTCACATGGAAAGCTTGTGAGTAGAATTGAATACTGGGTCAGTTCTTGGGCCATAACTAAGACAAGATAATGCATCACATGCCAGGACCAGTCTGTTCCTATCAGTGGTCAGGGCATGAGGTGGTTACTTGGGTTATCATGTCACTACTGCTCAGATTTTGGGACTCAAACTGACATAGAAGTGTACAAAGCATCCCGCTGCTGTATGTATTTAAAGCAGCTTTATTTTATTTTTACCCCTTGCTAACTCCATAAAACTTCACTGGCTTTTATATTTGTAAGACAATGACTGGGATACATTTGTCTGGCCTAGCATGCATTATTAAGATACCAACATATGTCTGGCATATCAGGAGATAATACTGGCAACTGAATCCTTTTATCCTGCTTGTTGAAGGCAGTGCTGTTGTGAACAAACTACACTGGACACAGTGCACCATATTTACTGCCATACCATCTTAATGATATAGCAGCTTCCCCCTGTGTCTTTAACTGTTATCCAGCTCAGCAGGTGTACAAGGTTGCCAAACACTAGTTAATACATGTACAGTGAAAAGAACTTTTTTTTTATTTCATTATGTATGCAGACAGTATCTGATTTATGAGTAACCTTTCATGTACAGTTCAAAACTTGGCAGTCATCCTTATCAAATGAAATACGATATTATGGACACTAATGATAACATATGTTGAGTGTTAATTGGTATGACTGCCAGCCTATAGTGTTTAACATTGTACATGTTTTAAAGTGGATGCTGCATGTAAAGGGTGGATATTTCTTTCTTTGAAGTTTCATTTTCGTGGTCTTTGTGTGCAGTGGTGTGCTCTGGACACGACGTGACATGCAATGCAATGACCAATGCAAACTCCGTGGCGTGCATTCCTTGGTACAGTATGTAAATATGTCCTCACTAATAACTGTTGGCATTGAATAATGTAAATTCTCTGACAACTTTACACACTACAGCAGTCAAAGTGTACACAACTGGAGTAGATGTGGCATTTGTTTGTGACTTGGCATTTATGGTAGGAGAATGCTGTAAATCACTATAATGGGATTTTGCTGTATGAGCTTATGCAGTCTGTGGAAAGAAGGCTTCCCTTTGCTGAGTATATCTAATTGACTCAACTTTGAATTAGCTAGGAAGGGTGATGAATTCTTTTGTATCTTATTTCCTGAATTCTACCCCACTTCTAATGGACAATAAATTGTATTCAGTCGTAAGTTGGTATTTTTCTTGACTGTCCATGATGCAGCCTCCTGTGTATGACTTATTTTCTATTAGCAGGATTAAAACGATCTTTACATATTCAAAAATAACAAAAACACCAGTCTGTTTTGTAATGAACATATCACTTTTTACAAATGTTGATCAGAAGTACATCACATCAGCATCAGTCACAAAAATGTAGCAGTATAATACACACACTGTCACAAGTCTTGTACATAGAACCTTAGCATGACAAAACAATATCTAATACTGACATATTATGATATGACATCATAATCGTAGTATCCATATTAAGGGAAATATGGGATATAATTTGAGCTTTTTTACATAATTTACATATCTACGATTGTCTCGAGAAATATACATGAATTCTACAGGGAGAAATTTCCTTGGCAACGCATTCTGGCTTTTTAAGGTTGGCTGAAACTTTTAGGTAACCATTATTAATTCTACTACATGTAGAATAGTACAAGCACCACTTTTCATGTAGATGTTACAGAGTTTGGGAAGTCCTGGATATTCTTATAAAGCAGGCTGAAAAATATCATCTTTTACATGTATGGACATTTATCTTCAACTGACTTAAAAGCCTGAAATTCAAAATATCTTGAGATGTTGGATTTGTCTAAACCTTAATGCAGCATTTACCTTTGACATACAGTCATCCTGTATTATTGTGCCTAGTGGTTCTATCACTAACATTACTCCTACCACAACTGACAAAATGCTATCAAAGACAACATCGTCATGATGCCTTGGCAGTACACGTCCCCGGTTCTCTGCCATTGGCCAGTTTTGGTAACGACTCTGAGGCCAGATCACTTTTAGTTGCTTCTGGAGCCATGTTGAGCCTCGACCTGCAAGATGAATGAAAAGATTAATTATAGCACGAAATATAGCCAGGAATGGTTTAATTTTAGAATAAGTTGAAGGTGTAGAGACAAGCTACATGTAGTGCATCAATACAACATTTAATCCCCCAAAGTTAGAAGAACAGCAGTGCGCACGGTTACTGTCCTGACCTGTTGTGTCTGAGGTGACTGCGGACCAGGTGACCAGCTGCCAGGGCAGACATCAGGGACAGCTCACCAGCCATGACGGTTGAACACACCACCTGCGCCAGCTGTCTGGCATTCATGCCTGGCTCCGAGTCGTGGGAGCCGTCAATACCCATCATCTGTGGAAATACGTGGGAACAGGGGCTGTCAGCATGGACTAGATGATCACAAGTAAAAATATTTACAATTTGTGGAGAACTTCAATTACAAAGGACTCATCCTATCTTTCTGCTTTCCCACAGCTAAATGTGCCTTTGTTACAGTTAATTTGTTCCTGTGTACGCATCAGCCTGCCCTACTGGTAACTACAATTCTTACAATGTACAGATGAGTGAATCCAAACTATTGGTAATACTAAGTACTATCTGCACGCTCTAACTTCTAAGTCCAGATATAAAAGTCCCTATACAATGATAAAGTGAAAAAGTTGTACCTTGAGACAGGCCCTCTGTGGTGGCAGGACCGTCCCCCCTCCCACAGTGCCCACCTCCAGGGAAGGCATGGTGCAGCTGATGTACAGGTCCTCTCCATCCTCTCCTGTCGCCTCCATCAGGGTCATACAGTTGGAGCTCGCAACAACCTGGGCAGCATCCTAAAAAGGACAATTTCAAAAAGAAAATCAAGCATCATGAAATTCAATAATGGATTAAATCTGTAGAACACTTAATACATGTACAATAGTCTCACGGTTTAAGGTTGAATGCTCATAAAGAAACATAATTATGAATTCGTCCATGGCTTTTAAAAAAAACACTCAATACAAATAACAGCTCTTTCAGGCAGAACAAACAAGTGAGTCAAAGCATGCTATATAGCTCATGACTAGAGCATCAGAATGGAAGAACCCACCTGTCCTGTGGCTATAAAGATGGCAGCTACAATGTTGGCTGCGTGTGCGTTAAACCCTCCAATACTCCCCGCCATGGATGACCCAATCAGGTTCTTACTGATGTTCAGGTCCACCAGAGCAGACACAGAGGTCTTCAGAATCTGCATGGCAGACAAAATGAGATGTCAGGAACAGAAAATGTTTCCTCAAGATGCAGATCCACTGCTGTCATTACATTACACACAGCCCTTTTCTCTTTGTAGAATTTTGTACCAAAAAGTTCAAATATTATTCATCACTTTCAAAGTCCTCATGTATCTTAAATACCTTTCAGCACAATTGCAAGTTTAAACATGTCTAATTACAAACAGATATGAATCCGTACCTTCTTGACCTCCTCCCCCTTGATGACAGCCTCTGCCACTACAGACTTGCCCCTCCCCTCCAGCCAGTTGATGGCCGTGGCCTTCTTATCTGTGCAGTAGTTCCCACTCAGACTCAACAGCTCCATGTCAGGGAAAAACTCCTCCAGCTTTTTCAGAGCCTGCTCTGTCCCCTGTAACAAAGAGACCAGTTTTACCTCTTTTGCAACGGGAAGAGTTTTTATCAGTCTTTGAACCTAAAAGAGTTCTTGTGTGAAGTATGAAGAACATCATACTGAAAAATGTCTGGAGACAAGACAAGATATAGAAAGAAGGATTACACAGTAGCTACCTTGGAGAGCATGTTCATTCCCATGGCGTCTCCAGTGATGGCCTTGAACCTGATGTAGACGTGTCGTCCTGCCACAGCTGACATGATGCTGTCTAACCTGCAGAACCTGTGGGAGGGAAGTCTGATCAGTATGTGTGGAGTCTATACAAACAACACAGAATCAAACAGACAAGGATGTATGTCCCGAAACAGCGGAAGCCGAGTAACTAATCATCATTGAAAGTACTGCACAAGTGGTCTGGGTATCAGAGTTCCAAAAACATTACCTGCTTGTTGAGTTGAACGCCTCCTTCAGCAGGTCTAAGTTGTCCAGGTCTCGTAGCCAAATCTTCAGTGCACTGGCCTGGGCAGCACTGGGCATTCTGACCACTGGACCTCTGGTCATTCCGTCACCGATAATGTAGCTCCTGGCTCCTCCTGACAACTACATGGGACAAAAAACAGGTGATCTTTAGTTGTTCTGGCAAAAATAGCTTTCACAGCATTTAAAGAAATAGGAATGACAGTTGTGCTAAAGAAGGTGATTCAAGCACTGTAATACTGTATCATGAC